TGAGAAAACCATAGTAATAATAATCATAATAGTAATAACTAATAATATACGAAACGGATGTTTTAACTTCATCGGTACACCTCTTATACGTGACCGTCATACCGAATATTTTGCCGAGCAATATTTTACGCCACGAACCAATAATACACGAACATTGTCGTAGCATTCGCATGTATTGTTTTCCCATACAATATAATTATCTATTTATATTCGTGTGACCAGTCCTGCAGCAGGGCAGTGTTTACGCGTCTACATATATTTACCAACTGTAGAGGTAAATAATGTGGTTTAGGTGTTCATTCAAATATTTCAAAAAATAAATAAGCCGGCCCCGTTTCGAGTAGAAGTTCCATAATATATGAAACGTCACGTCAATATATATCACAAAACTTTGTTGCAACATTCATCCAAAAAATTTCGAACGGGCGCATTTTGTTAAAACCATTATTCCTAGAAAATTATACATAATAAGATACAATAAACCTCCCGCTAGCTCGATCGTAGATCGTGGTGTCCGGAATAGTTTATGGAAAACAAATGAACCTATACTCCAAACATGAAATGTCAATTCCTAMTATAGGTCACCAAACATCATTGTATTATGCGGTATGCGATATTTCCGTTTTCAAAACTACTCGTATTGTACGCGTTTACTCGGAACTCAAAAATTGGGGGTTACCACTCACTCGTACTAGTAATGTACACATTTCAAGTTATATGTACATACTATATATTATAAAAAGTGTCAGTGATATGTGCAATTACATTTTTGTGGCGGTGTACGTGTAATGTACATAATTCTGTGTGTGTGTGAGAGAGTGTGTGTTAAAAAATTGTACAGCCGGTGTTTGGATATATATATATATATATATATATATATATATAGGTAGTGGCGGCGTCCTACGTTTGTCGGAAAGGATTAATACCGCGGTACACAGAGGTACTGTTGCTGCAGGTCTTCGAGTGCCGCTTTCGGTTCCTTTCGGCGCACCACATCCATCACCGCGCGCCAGMTGCATAATACACACTTTATAATGTGCGATACACACGCGCGCGCCTCACAACAAGCTCTCATAACGTGCAGGCCCGGACAAACGAACGCGGAAAAAAAAATAGACATTAAAATGAACAATATGCGAGAGAGAAAACTCGAGGGACCCGACCGAAAATAATAGCTCGGTGCGTGTATAATACTGTGGAATAATATAAAAATACGCAGAAAACGCGAGAGCTGCGACGGCTATAAGACGACGACCGCCCGTTGGGCGAACACAACACCTGATCATTGTCCTTCGCCGCGGGACGTATCGAGTGCGAGCGCGCGCGCGCGCCCGATCACGAGGGGCCCGGTCGGCTCTGAATAAAAAGGCGTGCGAAGCGGCGGGCGGCTGAGAGCGGGGAAGGTGCACTCGAAAAATCTGTCACCACTCGCACTGCAGTGCGTCAGTGCGTGTGTACAATGTTGGCGTCGAAAACGACAAGTCTGACACGCGGAAAGAAGGTAACGCGGTTAAACGCCATCGCCGGGAGTRGGGAGCGGACATATTATAAAACACCAGAAGATATATATAGTCGTCGCGGGGCGATAGTTCGGTTCCGCCGTATAATATAATAATATAATATATWACGCGCGAGCCGTTTGTGAAAAAATTAACAAATTCCCTAGCCACCAATCTATCATATTATACAGAATATTATGCAGTATATTATAGAATTACACGGCACACAGAATCACGATTATTGACCACGTGCGAACGAWAAACGTGCCTGAAACTCAAATTGCATCAAGTGTCCGCCGCGCCGCCACCAGTATATGTCGTAGCGGTAGTGTATAATATGTAAGAATGAGTAGTAGTAGAGTAAAATGTATATACAATATTATATACTTAAAAGTATGGTGAGAAAAAAATGAAATAATAATAAAAAATAAACGAAAAAATGTATTTATACTAAATTGCTGATAATTTAATCGGACTGCGCGACTGGCAGAGCCCGATTTCATTTTTTTATTTTTATTATTATTATATATTTTTTTTTCATTAGGTACATTATTACGTTTAAACTTGCGCGCACCGGGGCCATAAAAATAAATTGGATCACACAGGGTCCACGCGGGCACGAGAGAGACGACCGTCGACCGACGTGGATCGGATCTATCTCTATATAAAATAATATGCGCRAGCGGACTCTTTAATTAGTTGCGCTGTTCACGTACCTACCTATRTATTTGTGAGTGTGTATGTGTGCGTATGGGTGTGCGCTCGCTCCTCCGGTTTTTGTTGTTTTTTTATTCATTATTAATACACACGCACGCACGCACACAGACGCACATAAATGCATCGTGTGCCATTTTCATATATAATACGGGATGCATAGAACATCACGAGTGGTGCACGGTTATAATAATAATATAGTGRCGGTAAATTAAAATTGATGAAAAAAAATCTATACGTGCATTTCGATAAATTACACGAACACGAATTTAATCGATTTCTACAGGTTCTATTTCTGGGATTTATTATTATTATTATTATTATAGAACGACGACGGGAATATAATATAATATACATATTAGATAATATAATACGTAATATATAGAATAAGTCGGATGCTGCCGTTCTACTACGCTGTCAATTGTTGATCACGAACGAATAAAAAAACTGGAGAAAAAAAATGGGCATTTTCAATTGTCCTCCACTCACACACACACATATATATATATATATGTATATTTATAATATACTACTGCACCCGCTGCAGCATGGCATTATAATAATAATAATAAAAACAACAATAATAAAAAACACACACTGCAGCACATAGGTATTATTATTATTATTATATTTATGTATATAAGCGACGGAGACAGAGRCTACAGTCAGTGCTCCTTGGCAAAAACCAAACGAAAGAGGAGAAAATAAAGGTAAAAAACACTCGACACACACTGCACAAACCGCGATCCGCCAACTTACATACGGTGTACTTATCTCCAAGACGGGATTACATATTATGCGCGCGATTGTGTGAGTGTGTGTGTGTGTGTAATGTGCATGTACACCACACACACACACACACACACACACACACGCGCGTATATAAATACCCGTTGCGCGTGTACGCGATGCGTATATAATATACAAAAAAGAAATAATAATAATAAAATAAAAAACAATACGACAACGGTCGGTCTCGTTCCAACTCACACGCGGGGTGCACCCATGTCCAGCAGTCGGTCTTTGTCTCCTCGGGACCGCAAGCTCATTGAACCACGCGCGCGCTCTCTCGCAACGCGCACACACTATAATGCACATTATAATATTACACACACACACACTCATGCGTATATTAGCGGACACACGCACAAAACGCAGATATATAATA